ACTAGCGACACAAAAATCATTACATTTATAATATTGATTATGGATGCACATATACTTTCTTCTCATTACACGATGTGTAACAATACTAATAATGAGTTCTTTTTGTTATTAAAGCAAATAGTATCATCAAAAGTATAAAAAAATATCTAAAAAATGTCTGAAAGTATAAAAAATATCCAAAAATTTAATATACTTTTAAGTTACATAACTTAAACTTAATTTCATGACATTACATTAAATTTAATGTATTTATCATAAAAATTTATGAAATTTAATGTACACGTTCATTACATATAAATAACTAATGTAACTTTCTACTGTAATTAATTTTCAGTTAAAACATTCATTACTTTTAATTTCGTTCATAATCACAAGCTTCATTTATATTATGTAAAGGAAATATATCTAACAGTGCAATACAGCAAAAAAAAAATAGTTTTTAAATTTAATTGTTTACCCTTGCCATATAAAGAAGATATACAAGTAATCTTTGAAAACTAACAACAATATCCATCAAAAAGTAATTCAACATATAAATATATAATAGTATACAGAACAGCAAAAATATTACTTTTTTAATTTGAATTTTTACACTCATATTCAGCATAAAGGTAGTGTATTCTCTGAAAGGAATCTGGGAGAACTCTAACGAGTGTCCATCTCGAGTAACCCAGTCAAAGCATATATTTTTGAAGAATTGCTTAATCTGAATTTTACGGCAAGTGTTTCGAGAAGGAACCAGGAAGACTTGTCAGGTAGTTCGCAAACTTACTTCTCCATGCTGGCGTTGACGTATTTGTACTCGTCCGCGAACTCGTCGCCGTCGTTCGCGCCAACCGGGGCCCACCTCTCCCCGGATGGTCTGCTCTCGCTACTTTCGTCCGAATTCTCGACTTCGTCGCTCTCGCAGAGCGCCGCACGCGAGTGTCGTCGTCGCCGCCGCTCGTCGTCCATCGTCTCCCGGTCGTTGTCGCACGGCGCTTTGCCTACCTCCTGCTCGGCAAGCAACAATACACGAGCTGGAGCATATCGATCTGCAGACTACGTTATCGTGTCCTCGCGTTGCCTACGCGTGTCGCGTCGTCTACGTACCATGACAGCAATCCCGATCAATCTCGATGTCGACCGTTGCTCTGTCTATCTACACGATTTGCTCCGCAGTCCCAAATCTCCGAGCGAAACGAACTCTCCTTTAAATCCTGAACTTTCTCATATCCAAATCATTATTAATTGACCACCTGCGCACGTGTACACGACTAAGACGCCAGCAGACGTCAGCAGACGTCAGTGGTACAGGTCCATGCAAAAGTGAATTAAATGAACTGTCAAAGCCATGCCATGCATGAATCTGTATAGCTATTGCAGATAGACTGCGCATTCATGGGCGACAACTGACGACACATCAAAGGATAAAGATATATATGTATATATATATATACATGACATTTCTTTCATCACGCAAACAATACGTCGGATAAAGTCTGGAGCACAGACCTTTGCATAAGAGCGTAAAGCTCTGCGTACAATAGAAGGAATAAGAAATTAGAAATAAAGAATAAACGATTTCAACCTATCAGAAATCATATATTGTGGAATACACAGTTTCTGATAGGTTGCAATTGTTATTCTCTGTTCTCTGTTCCTTTTATTGTACGGAGCCCCTAAGGCCCTGCGTATAATAGAAGAAATAAGGAATTAGGAATAAAGAATAAATGATTTCAACCTATCATAAACCGTATATTACGATGTATCCAATTTCTGATAGGTTAAAATCGTTTATTCTTTATTTCTAATACCTTATTTCTGCTTGCACTGTGCGCAGGGCCTAAGGCTTACTACACCTATAGGTGCTCAAAGTGCACTAACATGCTATAATTTACGTTACGCATACTATAGAATTTCAGAGATAAAAGCGCGTTCTGAATACGGATCATTGTATTTTAAGTCTGGTTTCCGGATCTACAATAGGTATTTTAAGCCGTAAAAAATTGACAATTACAGTCAAATGCGAAGAGAATAATTGACTATGATTCGTTTATTGTGGATTAAGACTTAAAAATCTATTGTAGATCCGGGCTGAAGACCCATCGGCCCTGGGGAAATTTTCTTGAGTGTACGGGGGCAAATTTTTAAAAAAACATAGTAAAACACATTTTGCAGGGAATAATAGGTTTGCCGTTTTGAATACAATCTCCAAGAATAAACTCGACAATTATGATCATACTTACGCTAATGTTATGGCTGACGGTAAAAGACGTTTACCTCTTAACATTTACAGAAACACAGGCAGTTCTATACAAGGTAGATCTGAAGCTCGGACGCCAATGCACAACTCGGATAAATCATTAGATCCCAGGGAAAACATACTTATTAACCGTAACGGTCGTCTGACTCTTCTAAAGGTTTGGCATACACCAATATTTAAGATAACCTATACTCACAAGCTTTAAGACATACCTCACAAGAGTCAAACTTAACCTCTTCCTCCCCTTCCTCTTCTTCGACCAACAATAATTCTTGCCCTTCCAATGCTATTGTAGAAAATCCTTTCTTGAAAAATTTAGATTTATGTCTCTTCGATAATTCAGTTATTATTATTAATCTTACAGCATCTCGGTAATTTTGCTACGCTCAATAAACACTTAAACAATATCACTCACACCTTTGAATTAAATAAAATTCTCACATCATAATAACAAAAATAATATTAGTGGAAGCATTATGTAGTGGAACTGCAGAGGACTGAGGGGAAAGTTCCTCTACCTTGCTAACTTTATCGCTAATTTTGATATTGTTTGCATACAGGAAACGATCATGGATTGCCGCTCTT